GGATGTCTCTGTCTATCTCTCCATGGAGGAGTGGGAGTATCTAGAAGGACACCGGGATCTCTACAAGGACGTGGTGATGGAGAATGCCCCGCCCCTCACATCACCGGGTAAGAGGAGAGAGCAGTACGGAGGCTCCGCCTACATCCCCCATCATCTGATACACACATAGAAACAATGTATCAGTCAGTGTGTGTGTCTCCTACAGATGGATCCAGTAAGAGGAACCCACCAGAGAGATGTCCCCGCCCCCTGTATTCCCGGGACCCCACCCAGGAAGATCTCACCGTCCCCCACCATGAGAGATGTCCCCGCCCCCTGTATTACCTGGCTGGAGCTTCTAGAAGATGTAAGCGGCTCATAGAGACAATGTGGGGAATCGGATATCTTCTATGTGATGTCACATCATTAGTACTTCTATGTCACAGATGAGACTTTCTGCCGTTCTGTTGGTTTAGGGTGAAGATCTGATGAAGATGAAAGTTGAGGGTGAAGTAGAAGAGACGTATGTGAGGGATGATCAGCGATATACGGAGGAGGCCGGGATGACGAGGATGTCCATAGAGGAGGCCGGGATGACGAGGACGTCCATAGAGGAGGCCGGGATGACGAGGACGTCCATAGAGGAGGCCGGGATGACGAGGACGTCCATAGAGGAGGCCGGGATGACGAGGACGTCCGTAGAGGAGGCCGGAATGACGAGGACGTCCATAGAGGAGGCCGGGATGATGAGGACGTCCATAGAGGAGGACACGCCTACAGAGATCAGCACAGGTGGGTCATTGTCATGAGACGTCCTGCAAAGTCATTTCTTGTACTGAATGCAATGGAGAAGATAACACAATTTGCATAGAATGTGTTTGTTGGCGTTCCTGAAGGTTCTGTCACCTCACCTGTGTGTGTATTCCAATGTTCAGAAGGCTTAGATAAGATCAGATCTCAGAACTCCTCCCCCATACATCAGATCTCAGAACTCCTCCCCCGTACATCAGATCTCAGAACTCCTCCCCCATACATCAGATCTCATGACTCCTCCCCCATACATCAGATCTCAGAACTCCTCCCCCATACATCATATCTCAGAACTCCTCCCCCATGCATCATATCTCATGACTCCTCCCCCGCATACATAATGTCTCATAACTCCTCCCCATACATCATATCACATAACTCCTCCACCATGCATCATATCTCATGACTCCTCCCCCACATACATAATGTCTCATAACTCCTCCCCATACATCATATCTCAGAACTCCTCCCCCATACATCATATCTCAGAACTCCTCCCCCATACATCATATCTCAGAACTCCTCCCCCATACATCATATCTCAGAACTCCTCCCCCATACATCATATCTCAGAACTCCTCCCCCATACATCATATCTCAGAACTCCTCCCCCATACATCATATCTCAGAACTCCTCCCCCATACATCATATCTCAGAACTCCTCCCCCATACATCATATCTCAGAACTCCTCCCCCGTACATCATATCTCAGAACTCCTCCCCCGTACATCATATCTCAGAACTCCTCCCCCGTACATCATATCTCAGAACTCCTCCCCCGTACATCATATCTCAGAACTCCTCCCCCGTACATCATATCTCAGAACTCCTCCCCATACATCAGATCTCCTCCCCCATACATCATACCTCAGAACTCCTCCCCATACATCATACCTCAGATCTCCTCCCCATACATCATATCTCAGAACTCCTCCCGCATACATCATACCTCAGAACTCCTCCCCATACATCATATCTCAGAACTCCTCCCCATACATCATATCTCAGAACTCCTCCCGCATACATCATATCTCAGAACTCCTCCCCCATACATCATATCTCAGAACTCCTCCCCCATACATCATATCTCAGAACTCCTCCCCCATACATCATACGATCGTAGAACCTTCAGGGAAGGAACGGTGGCACAGAGGTGAGCTGACTGATACCAAACATGAGAGGTTTATCATACAGTATGGAGGAGTTCTGATAATCGGGTCTCTTTATGGTATTTCTGGTTCTTTTAGCTATAGAGTGCTGGAGTTTGGACTCTCAAATAAACTATAGGGAGGAGCCTCTGGAAACCTTGGGAGGAGCCTCTGTGAACCTCAGGAGGAGCCTCTGGGAACCAAGGGAGGAACCTCAGGAGGAGACTCTAGGAACATCAGGTGGAGCCTCTGGGAACCAAGGGAGGAACCTCAGGAGGCGCCTCCGGGAACCAAGGGAGGAGACTCTGGGAACCAAGGGAGGAACCTCAGGAGGCGCCTCCGGGAACCAAGGGAGGAACCTCAGGAGGAGACTCTGGGAACCAAGGGAGGAACCTCAGGAGGAGACTCTGGGAACCAAGGGACCTTAGGGTCCCACTAAACTCTGGTAGAGAAAAGCTGGGATAGACTAGAAGGTCAGCCACTGATCTTCAGATGTCATCTGCCTGTAAAACCAAGTTGTGTGATGTGGAATAAATAAACCAACCCCCCTCCCCCCCCTCTCTTCTCTCTCTCCCTCTATATCTCTCTCCTCCCCCCCTCTCTTCTCTCTCTCCCTCTATATCTCTCTCCTCCTTCTCTCTCTCTCTTTCTTTCTATTTGTAGTCCACGGACGGGACGTCGGGAAGATCTCAGAGGAACGTCTCACATTGTCTCCAGAAGATGAGGACATCACACAGTATAGTCCAGGAGAAGACATGATCACCACAAATCCCCAACTGATAGCCCACAGTGTGGATGGAACATCGTATTCCTCTTTTCCTGAGGACCCTCAGACCGGGAGGGGCGGGGCCGTCCTTCCAAAGATGTTTTCCTGTACTGAGTGTGGGAAAAGCTTCATCAGAAAACTAAATTTAGATAAACACCAAAAATGCCACAGGGAGGAGAAGCTGTTTTTCTGCCCCGAGTGTGGGAAAAGTTATCCACGGAAGTCAGCACTTGTCAGGCATATGAGATCTCACACCGGAGAAAAACCGTATTCCTGTCTGGAATGCGGGAAATGTTTTCCGAGAAAATGCCAACTTATCAGACATAAAAAAATTCACACAGGAAAGATGCCCTATTCCTGCCCCGAGTGCGGGCAGTATTATCCATTGAAATCAGAACTTGACATACATCTGAGGACTCACACGGGGGAAAAGCCGTATTCCTGTCCTGAGTGCAAGCAGTGTTATGCAAGGAAATCAACACTCGTCAGACATCTGAGGACTCACACGGGTGAGAAGCCATATTCCTGCCCTGAGTGCGGGAAAAGTTTCTCACAAAAATCCTATCTTTCTGTACATCAGCGATGCCACACAGGAGAGAAGCCGTATTCCTGTCTGGAGTGCGGGAAACGTTTTCCGAGGCAATGCCAACTTATCAGACATAAAATAATTCACACAGGAAAGATGCCCTATTCCTGCCCCGAGTGCGGGCAATATTATCCATTGAAATCAGAACTTGACAGACATCTGAGGACTCACACAGGAGAGAAGCCGTATTCGTGTCCAGAGTGCGGGAAATGTTATTCTCGAAAATCAGAACTTCTAACGCATCAAAGATATCACATGGGGGAGAAGCCACATTCATGTCCCGAGTGCGGGAAACGTTTTCTACGTAAATCAGATCTTACTAAACATCAGATATGCCACACGGGGAAGAAACCGTATAGCTGCCCTGAGTGTGGGAAAAGTTTTTCAAGAAAGTGCTATGTTTCCGTACATCAGATATGCCACACGGGGGAGAAGCCTTATTCCTGTCCTGAGTGCGGGAAAAGTTTTGCACGTAAATCAGAACTTACTAACCATCAGACGAACCACACGGGGGAGAAGCCTTATTCCTGTCTTGAGTGCGGGAAACGTTTTTCACAAAACTACTATCTCTCTGCTCATCAGATATGCCACACGGGGGAGAAGCCGTATTCCTGCCCTGAGTGCGGGAAACGTTTTGCACGTAAATCGGATCTCAGTAAACATCAGAGGTGTCACACGGGGGAGAAGCCGTATTCCTGTCCTGAGTGCGGGAAATGTTATTCAGACAAGTCCTCTCTTACCAAACATCAGAAGTCTCACGCAACCCTGGCGGTGTCTTACATTTCAGATTTACCTGATTGAGGAAATCTACGGAGACGGATTTTATGATGAAATATTTCTATTCTTATAACGAGGAGATTCTCTGTAGATTGAGTGATAAAAAAAAGTCGTCTTCAGATTTGGATTATTAAATGTTTTTCTTTGTTGTTATTTGTTTTTAAAGAGTCAGAAGACCCAAAAGTATATTTTCCCTCACTGACTCCCTATTTCCCCTCACTGACTCCCTATTTCCCCTCACTGACTCCCTATTTCCCTCACTGACTCCCTATTTCCCCTCACTGACTCCCTATTTCCCCTCACTGACTCCCTACTTTCCCCTCACTGACTCCCTATTTCCCCTCACTGACTCCCTTTCAGTCTTCCAGGACCGCCCACTTCCTCTTAGTTCCCACCCACTTCCTCTTAGTTCCCGCCCACTTCCCCTTAGTTCCCTATCCCGCTGCCTCACGTGACATCCTGCAGGTCTTGTGAGGCGGCTCCATCATCGTGATTGACAGCGGAACCCTCCCCCGCTACTCCCACCCATGTGACCTACAGAGACATGAGAGTCACGTGGCCTGTAATGGGGATCGGGACACCCCAAATCTGTTTAGGATTGTGCGGGAAAGGTTGTATCAATCTGAAGGCCTACAAGACCATCCCGCCATTCCCATCACAAGGGTCTCGTAGTCCATAAGACGAGCGCCGGAGGGAGGGTCTCGTAGTCCATAAGACAAGTGCCGGAGGGAGGGTCTCGTAGTCCATAAGACAAGTGCCGGAGGGAGGGTCTCGTAGTCCATAAGACAAGCGCCGGAGGGAGGGTCTCGTAGTCCATAAGACGAGCGCCGGAGGGAGGGTCTCTAAGACTACGAGCAGCCGCCCGCTCCCTACCTGGAGATGCGGGATGTCGGTGTCCCTTCCCTTCCCCCTCCTGGTTTCCCTTATCTCTCCAGAGATGAGACAGACAGCAGAGATCGGGACCTTTGTCTGCTCTGCCTAGCAACTGATGACGCTGGTGGGCGGGCTGTCCGTACCTCGGCCCGCCCAGTCTCAACCCCTGTCAGGAGCCCTGCGCCCCGGGAAAGTAGGTCCCTTCTCTGGAAGGGCCCAGCACCCTCGCGCACGTTTTTGTGTGCTGTGACTTTTTTGGTTGACGGGGGGAAGTTTGTTGTGACGCGCGTTCCACGGGCTTCCATTAAGTCCAGATAGCGTACAATAACTGGCCTTGGCGTATTGTGGTCTCTGGGTGGGCCCAGTCTGTGCGCCCTCTCTACTTTGCATAGCTTTGGGCACCAGTGCGGAACTAGTGTTCTGAGAGCGTCCTGCGGGCTCTCGGTCGCCTGTCTAGATACCTCTCCGTGTCCCCGATCGTGACCGGACTGAGAGGGGTGTTGTGAAGGGAGGCGGCCGGG